GATACACTGTCAAAGAAAACACCAAACCGCACTATCGACAGCTCAGTTCAGATGAATTTGGTGTAAATGGGAAAGAATAATCTCAAGTTCACCAGTTACTTCATAGGCTAAATAACTCAGCCAAACATTCAGGAAGGCATTCCACTGGCACTCAGCATTTAACGTCATATTAATTTATAGGATGATAAAAAAATAATGCTGCCTCAACTTTATTTATATAGATCATAACAACAAAAAAATTGTATTATCTATAGCATGCTAAAAACCACAGTAAAGGGCTGCAAAACTTTATTTGAGAAAAAAGAGTTTACATGATATTTCATCCTTTCTCCTCTCGGCGCAGGGTTTCCACGAGGTGGTAGCAGAGTACGGGTTCTCCCACAGTGAAGGTGGCTCTTTGACCTACATAAAAACTCAAAAAGTCACACAATTACTCCCAAGACTCGTCCCACTGAATTAGCATATTAGTAAAGAACATCAGGAAAAACACTTGAGCCAGAAGATCAAAAGAAATATTGTCATAAAAATGAGAATCCAAAAGGAACATACACGTGGGCACTGAAGAGTGATACCAACTTTTCTGCATAAGTATGGAGCATTCTGTGGAAGGAGATACTTGTAAGTTAGCTTGTTAACCAAGATAAACTGATTTACCGAGAACCAGTATACACAACATTCCCATTTCATTGTTTTCAAAAAGGGTGTGCATGTTTCATATCCGATCATATAAAAGTCATTGTGAAGTAAAGGGTCAAAAGACTTAATAAAGACTCAAGTAGGAGTTTCAAGAATTGAACAGACTAATTGGAAACAATCATGAAACTCATGTTGGAAAGAATATGAAATTTATCATCATAAAAATATGATCTTCTAGATAAAACATGAATTATATCAAGAACTAGTTCTTAAGAAACCATAGCAAATAAACATAGATAATATGAACTGACAAAAAAGCTACCGACTTTACCAAAATTAGACACCAAAAGTAATCTTCTTCCACTAACGCAAAAATTAAAAAGATGAACCAATTGGTTGTAGGCTTAAAAAACTGGAAATCCATGAGAGGCACCTAAATGAGGAAAGTAGCATAACAATATTTACAAGCACATATTGATCCACTCAAAGCATGAGGAAGAACATTATTCCAGCTGTGCCAAGGACCCATGCTCGGTTCCTGGAAGTTTGAAATAGTGCTTAGCCAATAATTCTTTTTGATGCTATGTATCAAAGCATTTCCAAGGAAATACTCAGAATATGTTGGTTGACTTATAGAGGTTGGTTATCTTCCCCATCCCAAGAAATATGCCAAAGTATTTCCATAAGTAATTCTTACCACATGTGGCTTGACGCACACAAGAGACTTCCCTAGGAGCTCAGGTAGATCGTGAAACAACTCAAATAGTTCCCAATTAAAACTAAAGCAAAACCCAAGCATGCCAAACAAATAGATCGAAACAAATTCTCGTTTCTCTGCCAAGCAAGCGAAGGGTTTCACCAGGTATCCACCAGTTGTATTAATATGATAAATATGTACAAGGGGTAATTACAATGAGGAACACACAATGAGCTCCTGAGAGCTCTCTATGTACATTTATATTCACTACATACAATCAATGGACTCAATGTGTGGGCACCAACTTCCATTTCTTGTAGATAATACTTGTCACTCTCATTCTGTTGAGGTGCTATCAAGGTACTCCCATGTACTCTCCCTTATTACAGCTTGAATGAATTGATTGTGTTTCTCTTTCGCCCTTCAATTTCTTTCTAGCCAAGTCACCGAAAACAAGTTCTCAAGAGTATCATTTATGGTATTTTATATAAATAGCCAGTTTCGTTGAAGAGAACATGAAATGTACAATCATAATGCAAAGATCATGGAATGGTTTAGACACTTCGCAGCCAACAACTTTCTTCAAAAATGGCAGGCCATTTTAGAACTTCCCCGAACCACAATCTTCAATCTTCATTATGGCGCCCCCCAGAACCTAGCTCCATCAAACTCAACTTCGACGGTGACTCACATGCTTGATCAGGCAGGTTTTGGTGGCCTTTTTGGAGGTCACAGAGGCAACAGTTAACTGCCCTATTCTGGATTCATTGGTATCACAGATTCCACTACTGCTGAGGCTATAGCCCTCATAGGGGGGGAGGACTGGTTTGGTTGTTTGGTGGCAGAAGGGAGTACAAAAACGTCATATCCTGGCTAATAGAGACTCCTCATGTCCTTGATGGCAAAACTACATTTTCAACAAACTTTTCGATCTTTGCAGGCATTTGAATATCTGTTATCGACATACTTGATGTGAGGCGAACCACATCACAGAGAGTCTCACTAAAGCTGGTACATGTTCAGGGCCAGCAGTAAATACTCCCACCAGCAGTACCTCCATGGCAACATTTCGAGCTTTGGCACCATATTTTGTATCTTGACCGCTTGGTCAGCAACATCCTTTCTGTATACTGTGATTTACAGGGTTTATGACCCATTTTTTATATAGGTTTACTTAGATATACATTTTCTCGAAGCTGTAATGAACACCTATCCTGTGGGCTGCCTGATGCTTTTTGCAAGTCTTTTACTTTCAATACAACAAGTTAACCTTTTCAACACAAAAATAAAAATATAAATAAATAAAAACAAATAAGAAAAACATTGTGATGAGCTCGCATTTCGGTCATTGACTTGTGACTCATAAACACATGACAAAAGAAAACATTCCAATAAGCCCACATATCAAATATCTCCAATGATAACTAACAGTATCAAGGGAATTTGTCTTTACTTCAGTACCCACTTGATCACATTTTGGCAATTTCCTTAAAATAAAATACCCATTGGACAAACTCGTGCACATGTAATAAGTGCATTAGCTTCTCCCATGGAGGAGTCACAAAACCCAATAAGCCCCAAGAATGATAGAAACATCAAGGTCTCCACAACTCTAAGGATACTTCCCAGCCCACGGGCCCAGGGCTACAAAGCAAGCATCCATCAAAATTGAAGTTTAGATATCCATGGTGCAGAAAAGACTAGTTGGAGAATGGCCTAGCATCCATATGATGTTAGAAAACCACCTCCTCGAATTAAAGACAAAATCCCTAGTACTGTCGCCTTGAAACTCCCAAGTAATGGTTCGCCACCGATGCGATCCCAAACAACCTCCTTACTTGTCCTTGTGCCCCTAAACATCCCATTATTTCACTCCATCCATAGGCCCGCCCCAATAGAACGAAAGCATGCGGAAGTGCCCAAGTAGACTCCACTAAGCTTTTAGCTCTGAAAAATTTAGCCCATGTCTTGTAGAACAATTTCTTAATAGATTAAGCATTTAAAGTATCGTATTTTTTTGCGGTGGAGGGTATGTTTGGGGCATAATGCCGATAGACCACCCAATCCACCGCATGAAAGAACTAAACAAAATTAAATATCTAAGACATTTTTCCTATGAAGTGCTAAAAGAATGAAAACCAGAATTAATCTTAACATCTACGACAGTATCAGAGTTTAATCGAATGCATACTCTGAAATCTAAACCAACCCAGGTTGAAGGTCGAAGAAATCAAGCACAAGACCTAAACTGGCTTCTCAAAATTTCACCAATGAAATCGGAACAAGGAAAATGCCCCCTTATATCATTAGAAAAGACTGACAACTTGTAACATTATGTTTTATATAGGGCAACATGCAAGAGATGGTTCAAATAACACTTGATTAAATAACTGCATAGCCAGAGGAACTTGATGTAGGACAATAATGGATAAAATACAAGAACTAAAGTGATAACCAATAAGCACAATGTATTTGATATCTTCATTCCTAAATAACTGCATAGCCAGAGGAACTTGATGTAGGACAATAATGTATAAAATACAAGAACCAAAGTGATAACCAATAAGCACGATATATTTGATATATTCATTCTTCTTTTAGTAGCTTATAAGAGAGGAGAGAAGGGCTCCCAATATGAAACTCCAATTTACATATACCAAAAGCATCTCATGCATCCTCTCACTTCTAACAAATAGAAACGGATTGGGTTTGATCGTGTTCAAAAAAATGGCTCCTAACAAAACCAATGGAGTTGCCTTGTCAAACTGCCACCAATCAATAAGAGGTTCTTAAGATCCATGTGCATGACATTGTGCGCAATCCAATCTTTACTACGTTGTATATTAATAGCAATGTTACAAAGTACAAACATATGCTTACACAGCCAAGACTAACTCATTTTGATAATTGATGGCAACACTTTATACAATTTATGATCCCATATGTCGACCATATATTCCATAACATTTTGGTTGTGATGGAGAAACATAGTTCTAACACTTTCACCAAAACAACAAGACTGAGAATCTGAGAAATTAAACAAGAAATTACTGTAATCTAATCAGTAACAAAAAGGAATCCACATTTCAGTGTACATGTACAATTATATGTGCCATTTATGCAAATATCTCAAAATCTTTAAATAAAGAATAAAATAACAATAAGGCCATTCGATCCAATAGGAAGCCAAAAAAATGCCAAGTCGTCTTCAGCCCAAAAATCAAAGATCATTCCTCCTTATAACCCTTAAAAAGAAAAGCAAGGAAACAAATTATCAATAGACGAAAACCCTTTTCCCAATCATCCCTATTCCCTGGAAAAGAGCAAAAAAATTGCAAGGCTTAATTACTCAGTTCTTGAAATGCAACCCACTTCCCAACCCATCACTCGCCTCTTTAAATTTACCAGAACAACATCAAAAAGCTAACCAGAAAATCCAAAATTTTCTAAGATTAAAAAACACAAATCACAAATTACAATGAGTAACTCTGATGGATGGATGGCCAGAATATACCAAGCTGTTCCACACAGGAGGTAGGGACACAAAGGCAGCAACCAGAAGAAGGAAGAGAGAAATCAAGGCAATCTTGTGAGCTAAAACCTTATCTTCTCTGAAAGGCCACAGACTTCGAAAGAAGCTAACTCCCCTCTCTCTCGAATGGTGAATGATCTCCTCCTCCGCTTCCTCCTCTGCTTTCAATGGCGAAGTTACATGATCCCTTTTAACAGGAGAATTCGAAGCCCTAACACTCGAACCAGAGTGCCTTAGCTCCGCCATCGATGTAGCTGCTGCTGCTTCTTCACTGTTAAATGAACATAAAAAAAGCCGAAATTTCAGTTATAAATTCGTCTTCAATCTTAACTCCAACACTTGAGCTTATTATATATTATTTACAGAGGAGTAAAATGTTAAACCCTTAAAACGTGTATTGATTCCTTTTTTGCACCAAATCGAGGAAGGACTGGTGCATGGAGTTGTAAAATAGGGATAGTACTATGAATCGGTTCAATTTATGAATCCTCCATTATAACTTTTTGTTTGCATTTTAGGAAGGTTAATTAAGGGAGATGTCGGTTCACTTGAGGGATGGAAATTTCTGTTTTTTTTTTCTTCTTACTTTTTACTTTTTTTTGGGATATTGACCATTGAATGATATTTGCATTTTAGGAAAATATGTTATGATGAGATGTATTAAAGCCTAGTGTGATTTCACTTAAGAGAATTGAGATCTAGTTAGTCTTTTGTTCAGTGTTTTCGTCTCACATTCGTCTATTCAGTGTTTTCATTTTAAGAAGGTTAGTTTGGGTTGTTTTAAAAGCCGGAATCAGGATCCGGATTGGTCGGTCTATGGATTCAGATTAGCTGAAATAGTGAAACTTTGGTTTAGAATTAATAAAAGAGTAAAATCGGGTGGATTAGGGGTGTGGGCCCTCATATTGGTTAGGCACCGAACCCAATTTGGATAGGCAATTTCCAATCTGAATCCCCAAATTTTTATAACCCTTGATTTAGGTGATATGAGACTGAGTGAATGACTAGAGGGCAAGCTTTTTATGCTTCTCCTACAACATAGAAGTTCTATCATGTAGGCGTGAATGCTTTTAATCTCTGTATCGTTTTTGGGAGTTGTTTTGCTATACATTTCCAACTGTCATTGTAAATTTTGCCGGATTTCCTCATTGAAGATTAGTTGTGTTCAAAGTGAACCTCTTGGTTTAGGTTCACTCTTAAATGCATCCCTATCCTTGATCCAACTCATTTGTGGACAAAAGTTTTGCCGACTTAAGTTTTGATGGATTCTGGGCTTCAACATTGCTGGGCACCTTGAATTTAAACATTTGACCTTTTTGTGTGCAAAAGAGGAACTTATCACATAAATTCTCGATGCCTTAATCTTCTCAGTTTCTAAGTCATGCAAAGTGCATATAAGAATTCTCTATAGTTGAATCAAGGAAAATTGTTTGGTGCGTCCAAACCCCCACTTTTTACTATGCGGGTTTGGAGATCTACACCGTCCATCAAAATTGGGTCCCCTAAATAATAGGTTTTTAAAGAAAAATAAAATCAACAGTTCAACTATTTGCTCAAAAAAATATCATTTTTAGTTTTTAAAATTTATTTGTTTTTATAGATTAGTAATTCCCATATTAAAGATTATATATTCCCTAAAAATTAGGATTAAATTCTATTTCAAAAAAATATATATTAAGAGGACCGCATTTCTGCATGTGAGTCCCTGGACTCATAGAAACAGTGTGCAATGGCCAAGTGACACAATAATTTTTCCAAATTTGCTACATCATTTATGCAATATAATTGTTTGAATATTTGCCCTTTATGATTAATAAATTTTTGAGTTACAATCTTATTTTCCATCCACTTCTAAAGTAAAAGAATTCTACAACTAGATACTATACTAGGAACATGGAAATGGCACTCCTGGTGGACTCCTCAAAACTAAACTTGCTTGCAACCCACTCATCGAACTGTACGCAAAAGTCATTTCCTCAACCCCACATGATCCATTAAAACTTTAGGGGGGAGTTTGATAAAAAAAAATTTTTTTTTTTTTTGGTACAAGAATACTTTATATTATTAGATCATAACAAACTCAAAACAAAGATTGAGAAATGACTAAAGAATGAGAGGCAGCTCTTTTTTAGCTAAATCATAAGCACTGGTATTAGCCTCTCTCTCGATAGACATAGCAAAAACTCACAATGCCATCCGACGATAGCTCTAAAACTTGCAACCAAAGGGACCTAAGGTACCATGGAGTTCTTAACTCCCGCGGCAGTTGATGACATTTGTGTAGTAACCTTCTAAAATTAAAGAATTCCCCAATCTCTTGTTCTTCCAAATAATTAACCCTTGCCACTTCAACATGATTAGTAGCAGCCGCACCATAACAAAAGAAGGCAATGCTCCCATCATCACGACACATGCCCCAATCCCAGTCCTACCGGGGTTTCCTAAAGATGAACTATCAAAATTGAGTTTGAAGCACCCGCTAACTGGCGGAACCCACATACATCTTGGTCTAACTTTAAAACATTTTAAAGTAACCAAATGCCCCAAATTATGGTGAATATCCCCTATAAAAAGACTTAACCCTTCCTTTGTGATACCAAACCAACTCCAAACTCTAAAAAGAATTCTATTTTTCAAATCGTGCAATTCCATCGCCACCTCATCAAAAGTTCGTCTATTTCTTTCAAGCCAAAGCTCCCATAATATCGCAGCATGATAAATATCCCAAACAATACAACCTGCCTTCGGAGTACCAATAAGTTTTATACGAGGCACGGGATAGAAGATAGATGATGGGAGGATAAAGGAAACACCTACTTTCTGCATTGCTCAACGCCACAAAGTGTATGCATATGGGTATTACAAAAAAAGGTGATCATCATTTTCCTTATTATTCTTACAAAAAATACAAACATTTACAATGATCTTCTCCTTTTTACTGAGGGGTGATTGTCTACAGTAACACTTTCCCTTGTGCTAAGTTACAAATAAAAGCTTGAACTTTGTGAGGTATCTTCCATTTCCATATATCTTTTAAAACTAGCATATTCCACCTAACTCGATAATGAAAAAGAATATGGTAAGCAGATTGAACCAAGAAAATTTCATTAAATTCCAAATCCCATGCCACTTCATCACTTGCCCGGTTTGAGAGATAAGCGTGTTCTAACATATTTAATAACTTGATATATTGATCAGCTGCACAATGAGGTAAATACTTGCACAAACAGTTTATATGCCAAGCCGGGGACTAACCCTTTATCACTCTATCTTCACTCACCTAGATCAATGGCTGAACACTTCTTAAGAACAAATCAGGAAAAGAGAAATTTAAAAGGAGCATCAGCAAGTTACTTAGAATGCCAAAAAATAATATTATCCGATTATTTCTTAGTCCATCTAGAATGACTAAGAACAAAAGTTCTCATGGACACAATAGATTTTCACACATAAGACTGTTGAGCTCCACTCTATCCCCTAGCAGCCGTAAGGTTAATGGTGTCAAACTCATCTTTAGAAATCAATACTTTTTTCCACGGTTCGTCATCATTTTGCATTACCCTCCACCATCACTTAGCAATTAAGGCCTGGTTGACAAATTTTAGCTTGTGAATGCTTAGACCGCTTTCTCTTTTTGGCATATATACTCTATCCCAACTTATCAAGTGCTAGTTCATGACCTCCTTATCAGATCCTTATCAAAAATCCATCACAAGTCTTTCCAATTTCTTAATAATATCAGTTGGCATAGGAAGTAAAGACATTTGATAAATTAAGAGATTAGACAAAAAAGATTTAATCAAAGTGATTCTACCCTCCAAAAATAGATGTTTAGCCTTACAAATATCTTGCTTTACATTTGCCCTCTTCACCATTAGTTCTCACAAAGGTATTCTCACGTACTTGATAGGGAACTTTTTCATTTTACAATTCATAACCCCAGCTAAATATCTAACTACACTATTCTAACAATGAACTCTAATAGCTGAGGTTTTAGCAAAATTAACTTTAAGACTTAAAGTCATCTCAAAACATCTCAAAAATCGTCTAATAACCAACACTTGATCAATGTTAGCCCCACAAAATAATAAAATATCATCAACACACTGAAGATGCGAGATACAAAGTCTTGACAAATTTACAAGAAAACCATTAAAACCTTGACTTCTCGCAACATTATTAATCATTAAGTTGAAATGCTCTCCCACTAAAGCAAAAACTGGTGGCTTAGAAGCTGATAATCCTTCTTCATAGACTCTTTGGATTCTCTAATGCCGGTAATTTTTCCAAGGTTTTAAAATTCGGCGATCTAAATCAGAATCTTCTGATCTGGATCAGGAATCGTCAACGCCATTCTTGATCCAACAATATATCAGGATTCGGTTGGGTCTCCCTCGAACCAGCTCATACCGATTCTGACATCACGAAAGCGGTTTTAATGTCATCGAACCTCTTTGAAACGTCACATTTTTCTTTTAATTTTTGAAACACGTTTTTTTTTATATATTTTGAGATGTCTAAAAAGTTTTTTAATAAACATGCCCCATAAGCAAATAATTGACAACAACTGCACGCTAAGCATGCGTCTTATGGGCCTTGAGCCCTTTATAGAGCTTCACGCTCATTAAATTAGTCGATACGAGACAATTCTTCTGCTCATTACTTTGTACACATAAAGAGAGAGAGAGAGAGTTTAAGCAATTACCCATCAAAATAAATTTACGATAGTTTAAGCACTTTGAGCACTAAAAAATTGTAATCAAAGAGAGAGATATGCTAGCAATAGTTTAAGCAATTTGAGCCCTACAACAAATCATTGATTATCAAAATAAAGTCACAAACTATTAATTTTCCAGCAAATAAAATAACAAAAGAAAAAGAAAAATAAACAAAGATTGAATTTTATCCCCTTGAAAAAATAAAAAACATTCATCCAATGGTTTAAAAAACGGATCGGTGACCCCGATCGGGCTTCCAAAAAACCGATCCGGATCGGCGAATCGGCGATCCTGATCGGGAATCGGGTGAATCGGTTAGGATAAAGCTTAAAAAAAAATCCGAAAAAATTATTAAAATTCATTATAAATATTGTTTTTTAGGAATTCAATAATAAATGAGGGTACTCCATTAAGAATTTT